CTGAAAGCTTTAAAACACTCAAGTTCAAAGAGCCTCATCACTTTAAAAGAGTCCACACACACACACACACACACACACACACACACACACACACGAACAGCAGTGTTAAATAATGAGTGTGCATCTCCTGCGCTCACCAGTAGAGGGCGACACACACACACACACGGCCCACATTACCACTCGACAATGGAACACTCATAACTGTAAGTGCTGCTTACACAAGTCACCTAAAGAAGAAAGGCTGCTAATTGTGTCTGTGGCTCCATTAATAGTCTGCATCACTTTTAAGACCCCTCGTCTGCGGTGGGCTTTCTTGGCTCTTATAAATGAGTCACTGAGTTTGAAGTGTGATGTCAGTCTGCTGTATTTCTCCTCATGCGAACGTGTCTGAGAAAGGAGGCATGCAGGACGTGATCTGAGAGAGAGAGTGTGTGTGTGTGCTCTTTGCTGGAGAGAGTGTGTGTGTTTATGTCTCTACACACTCATTTTGGGTGTGGACGTGTGCCAGGGATCGCAGTGTTCAATTACAGCACAAACACAGTGAGATGCAGAGCCTTTCAGGAGCCGAGCCTGCAGAACTGTCCGTGTGTTTCTGTGTGTGTCTGCCACTGTCTAAACATTCAGAGAACAGCATCTATTTACTGCAGCAGCACATGAGCCCAGACCTTCACTCATGCCTGAACATCAACTCTGTCTGGCAAAAAGAGGACAGGTGTGAATTATATTCAGCCACTGACAGATGCTGTATTGTTTAAACTCCGTTTCACAGAGACGGCGGAGCCATCATTTCTGCACAGCATTCTCTCTGGTTGTTAGTGTGTTGCCATGGTGTTCTGTTTGGTTGTTAGTGTTGCCATGGTGTGTTGTTTGATTGTTAGTGTTGCCATGGTGTTTTGTTTGGTTGTTAGTGTTGCCATGGTGTTTTGTTTGGTTGTTAGTGTGTTGCCATGGTTTGTTGTTTGATTGTTAGTGTTGCCATGGTGTTTTGTTTAGTTGTTTGTTAGTGTGTTGCCATGGTGATTTGTTTTGGTTGTTAGTGTGTTGCCATGGTGTTCTGTTTGGTTGTTAGTGTGTTGCCATGGTGTGTTGTTTGGTTGTTAGTGTGTTACCATGGTGTGTTGTTTGATTGTTAGTGTTGCCATGGTGTTTTGTTTAGTTGTTTGTTAGTGTGTTGCCATGGTGATTTGTTTTGGTTGTTAGTGTGTTGCCATGGTGCCATTATGGTGTTTTGTTTGGTTGTTAGTGTGTTGCCATGGTTTGTTGTTTGGTTGTTAGTGTGTTACCATGGTGTGTTGTTTGATTGTTAGTGTTGCCATGGTGTTTTGTTTGGTTGTTAGTGTGTTACCATGGTGTGTTGTTTGATTGTTAGTGTGTTGCTATGGTGTTTTGTTTAGTTGTTTGTTAGTGTGTTGCCATGGTGATTTGTTTTGGTTGTTAGTGTGTTGCCATGGTGCCATTATGGTGTTTTGTTTGGTTGTTAGTGTGTTGCAATGGTGTTTTGTTCAGTTGTTAATGTGTTGCTGTGGTGTTTTATCTGGTTGTTAATGTGTTGCCGTGGTGTTTTATCTGGTTGTTAATGTGTTGCCGTGGTGTTTTATCTGGTTGTTAATGTGTTGCCGTGGTGTTTTATCTGGTTGTTAATGTGTTGCCGTGGTGTTTTATCTGGTTGTTAATGTGTTGCCGTGGTGTTTTATCTGGTTGTTAATGTGTTGCCGTGGTGTTTTATCTGGTTGTTAATGTGTTGCCGTGGTGTTTTATCTGGTTGTTAATGTGTTGCCGTGGTGTTTTATCTGGTTGTTAATGTGTTGCCGTGGTGTTTTATCTGGTTGTTAATGTGTTGCCGTGGTGTTTTATCTGGTTGTTAATGTGTTGCCGTGGTGTTTTATCTGGTTGTTAATGTGTTGCCGTGGTGTTTTATCTGGTTGTTAATGTGTTGCCGTGGTGTTTTATCTGGTTGTTAATGTGTTGCCGTGGTGTTTTATCTGGTTGTTAATGTGTTGCCGTGGTGTTTTATCTGGTTGTTAATGTGTTGCCGTGGTGTTTTATCTGGTTGTTAATGTGTTGCCGTGGTGTTTTATTTGGTTGTTAATGTGTTGCCGTGGTGTTTTATCTGGTTGTTAATGTGTTGCCGTGGTGTTTTATTTGGTTGTTAATGTGTTGCCGTGGTGTTTTATTTGGTTG